CTGTAGCTAGCATGAGGTGAGTCTGTTTAGTGATGTTACAGCGTAGGAAGACTGTGGATGCAAACGACGTGCACAATGAGTGAGAATGGGTTGTCTCAGAGGCTTGCAACCAGGCGCAAGGGAAACACTTCCCCAGCACAGACTCCGGGGGTCCGTGGCCTTTGGGTGCTGGTGGGAGGGGACACGATCCTGGTTCCCGGGGGACGAGGTGGCCAAGAACACGGCCCAGGATGAGAGCACATGATTTATAGTGGAGAGGGGTGGGTGAGGTGAATGCAGCCAGGGGGAAGTGATGCTGCCCTCCAGGAGCAGAAAAGCTGGAGCTTTCTAGGAAGGTGGGCAAAATGGAGCTTGGCAGAAGCCGCACGCTATGGTCCAATGGTCGCGTTGGTGAGACCCTGGACAGAGAGAGCAGGGCTGGCAGCTTGTCTGTCACATCTCACAGCATCAGACAGCTACAACATGCCGCCCCCCTGGGGAAGCCAGGCCTGCTGTTACATGCCTGTAATCCCAGCATCTGGAAAGGGGGGGCAGGAGGGACAGGAGTTCAAGGAGAACCTCAGCTACATAGAAAGTTCTCAGCTAGGTTGAGCTACACAAGGCCCTGTCTCAAAACAAACAAACAAACAACAAAAAACAACCAAACCACTGCCTTCAAATAGCAACAAAATTAATCCTCTCCCCCCAAAACAACCCATAGTAAGGAGACACTATGTCATAAAGCTAAGGTCTGTTTGGACGGTGGGCTGTACTGGATTCTATGGGATACTTAGGATCCCGCTTGTTTCCTCCCCTCGGTGTGTGTTTTTGGGGTCTGTACCCCTAACTAATTGACTCTTGGTACAGGCCACATGGCAACTCTGAGAGGAGGCACACCTGGGCCGTGTCATCCACATATCCACATCATGATTCTATTCCATTGTTTGGTCTCTTGGACCTGGAGCCCAGGTTGGAAAGGACCTAACTAAAGCAAGCAGCTGAGGGAACTAGTAAGTCAGTCAGACTCCAGGTGGCTGCCCTGGTCTGCAGGAACCGCTTTTTCCCACCACACAAAGTAGAAGGACTGAAAAGCTTAAAACCCCAGGGAAGAGACAGCAGGAGCCAGGCTCAGGGGCCTTGTGATGGAGCAGTGTCCTGTAGTCTGTGATTTTACAGGACTTCTGCCACAGGGTGCAAGGCTGACGACACAGTGAGCTGGCTGCTCTGGGGAGGGCTTGGAGAGCAGGGAAGGGGAGATAGCCTGAAGGCTGCAGGCTCTGCACATCAAACTGCTGTGGGGCGGAAGTATGCAGTCTGGAAGGCTCCCATCAGGCCCACAAGCCGGAAGTAGCCTCAGATTCATCCTTTGGCTTTGCCTGTTGCAGCTGTCAACAGGACACTGATCAAGGCTGGCTCAGGCTCCTTGTCCTCACCTTGGGTTTGGAGGTTTAGACAGATCCCACACTGGAGACCACCAAGCTTCAGCAAGGCAGGGGCTGAGGGAATTCTGAGGGAGCACTAGCATGACAGGCCAGTGCCTGGGTAGTGTGCTGTGGTGACAGAAGTGACCTGAGAATCAGGTGGTCACAATCAGCTGTGAGGTCTAAGCCAAGGACAATCAGTTCTGTTATCCATAAAATTTGCTGGAATCTGGGGGGGGGGGCAAACTACTAATTTCCAGCCTGCTTCCAGATGATATTTGGGGTCATCTCAAGTTTAATTTAGATCCTGAATAGATGACTACAACTCAGAAAGATGCCCAGATACACAGCCCCACTGGTCCAGAGTGACCAGGTGCAAAAAGCAGGGTGTTCTCAGTCCCACCGCTGTCCCTTATCTCCCTGTCCCCAGTGCCTTTGTGCTTGTCTGTGAGGACTACTTGAATAAGTAGCCGGGGTTTTTTCCTCCAAGCTGACAAAATACAAGTGAACAAAGCTTCCCAAGGTCATCCCTAGGCTGAGGCTGCAAACCAGCCAGTCTCTGTCATCACAGCAGGGGTGCCTGGGAGATGTAAGGCAGGATGGACAGAAGCTGTGGGGCTGGTAGGATGCATGGGACAGCTGTGAGGCTGGTTGTGATTCATCTGGGTGCAGGGCATTCACAGGCAATCATTCTTCCTTTATCTCGGTGGCTGGTCCTGTCCAAGACCAGCAGTTTCTATTAGGAGTTGCTATCTTTTCTGTGACACAGAAAATCTGTGCTCTTCTCGAAGAAGCTGAGAAATGGGGGCCCTCCCCTGGCAGAGGATTTAGCTGGTGAAACAGCTCAAAGCAGATCAACCTGGGCAGCCCCGATTCTGCACACGATTAATTTCAAGATTTGCCCATTGCCAATTTTGAGCTCATGTCATCTGATAAGACTCAAGTGCTCTCAGGGATGAGCTAGTTCTTAATTGAACAATTAAATCCTCTCTAGTGCACCACTGGCTTCTGAAACCCAGGCGAGGAGATTCAACTAGAGACCCGTGTCTGGAAGATGCCAGGTCTGTAGCCGTTCCCTGTGGGAAGGTGGCACTAGGGACATGTCACCTTCTCACCTCAGCCCAAAGTGATAACCAGGATAACATCACATTACAGCCAGAAGGAATTATGAACAAGAATGAAGCTGCTCACTGCGGGGAGTGGGAGGCAGGGAAAAGAATGCCCTGCACGTTCCAACAGATAACTGATGGTTACCATTCATCACGGCTAGGAACCCATTCAAACCGGAACAGAAGGGTTAGCCTGGTTCCCAGAAGGGATACGTGGATGGCAAGCATAGAGAGAAGGCTTCCCCCAAATTTCTGTAGCAAGCATTGACACAGGTTGGCAGTCTAAAGAGGACACACTGGGAGTCATGGAGGTGCCACTCCTTCCCTGGTCCCCACCCAGCATCAGTTCCTACCTCCTGTGCGTTGTGTTTTTTTTCCCCCATTGCTGCTCACACACCCCAAGTGAAATGGCCATGCCTTACATCTGAATGACAGGCATGCCCTGCGTCCTCCTTACTAGTGTGTCTGCCTAGTCACTGACGCTGAGGACAGTGTAGTCATTTCTGTCCCCTGCCAAGTTACCCTCCTCTCCTGGACCTCAGAGAACACGGGATACTATTCCCATCCTGAGTGGCGGGCTCTGCCTTCCTTCTGACTTTGTCTTCTGCTTTCCCCTGAGGTGGAGGCCTTTGTGATGCCCGGCCCTTACCAGGAAGGTTCCTTTTCCTGGCTGAGGTCTTGGCCAACATTCCTCTCCATGAAGATGTCCCCACCCAACCCCCCCCACCAGGCCTTCCTGGTTTTCTCCAGTTTTAATTGTACTCTTTATTTCTTGGGCCTTCTATCAGTTTGATGCCATATTTTATCATCTGTGCGTTTATTATTTGTCTCTCCACCTAAGTAGCCTGGAGGTGCCATTGCGGTAGGAACCCTGTTGGCACCCTCGGTAGATGGCACAATGCCTGCCACAGGGCCGGCGCTCTGCAGGGAGGGAACAGTGTTCTGTGTTGTCACAGCCGTGTAACTGAACCCATCTTAGTGGCATCTACGTCTGCCCACGCTTAGGTGAAATTACCTGGTATCTGGTGGGTTTGCTGAAAGTGTTGTTTGCTGTCAGATTTTCAGAATTCCTCATGCCCGCCTGGTAGCGAGTCTTCTAGAACAAAGAAAGAAAGATGCATACATACATGGCAGGGCTCAGAGCGATGTCCAGATACAAAGGCAGCCTGCAGGGAACCTTCTGGAAGTGGGTTTGGAAATGGCTTGGCTTCCTAGACTGTTGCTTTTGGGAACTGGGTTTCTGTAGGATTGTCATAGTAACAGACCATTGTTGGCCATTTGGTCTAGGAAGTCCTGAGTTTTGTGTCTTTCTTCTGGAACTCCTCAGAGGCTCGGCTAAGCCAGTGAACACTGAGGCCCCAGAAGTGTTCAGGGAATCTGTTCTCAGATCAACCTCTGGCTACTTTCTGTAAAAAACTATACTACCTCCACATGCTCTAGGGCAGTGGTTCTCAGCCTGTGGGGTCAGTCTCCTCTGGGAGAGGATGTCAAATCACCCTTTCACAGGGGTTACCTAAAACTACCTGCATATCAGATGCTTACGTTATAATTCGTAACAGTGGCAAAAATAACAGTTATGAAGTAGCAGTATCGATGAAATAATCTTATGGTGGGGGGGGTCACCACAGCATGAGGAACTGTGTTAAGGGGTCTTGGCATTAGGAGGGGTGAGAATCACTGCTCTATGGAGTCTGCTTTGCTGATGTCTTGTCTTTCCAGGCAGCAGGCAGCTTGCTGAACTGTAAGTGTCTCTGAGGAACTTTGGGACATTCTGCTGGGTGGACGCTTTGCTGAGGTGCCTGATAGATTCGGCAAGGCAATGGCTCCTTGCATCTCCTAGCTCACTGGCTTGCTTTGTACCAGGGGTGGCTGTTGGAAGGAAGGAGTCAAACACACAGCCCCAGCCACACTCCCCTCTGCCTGTCCT